GCAGCTTTCCAGCCACTCGTCCCCAAGCCTGTAGCGTTGCATGGGGTTGTTGTGACCCAAGTGCAGGACCCGGCACTTGTTCTTGTTGAACGTCATACAGTTGGTCTCGGCCCATCGATCCAGCCTGTCCAGATCCCTCTGTAGAGCGTTCCTACTCTCCCGCAGATCAACGCTCCTGTCCAACTTGTTGTCATCTGCAAACTGACTGAAGGTGCACTCGATCCCCCTGTCCAGATCATCGATGAAGACATTAAACCGAACTGACCCCAATACCGAGCCCTAGGGAACACCACTTGTGACTGACCGCCAACTGGATTTAACTCCATTCACCACCACTTTCTGGGCCCAGCCAATTTTTCACCCAGCGAAAAACAAGCCTGTCCAAGCTGTGAGCAGCCAGTTTCTCCCGGAAAATGCTGTGGGATACCATGTCCAAGGCTTTGCTAAAGTCCAGATAGATGACATCCACAGCCTTTCCCTCATCCACTAAGTCGGTCACCTTGTCATCGAAGGAGATCAGGTTAGTCAAGCGGGACCTGCCTTTCATAAACCCATGCTGACTGGGCCTGATTACCTGGTTGTCCTGTACATGCTCTGTGATGGCAGTCAAGATGATCTGCGCCACAACCTTCCCTGGCACTGAGGTCAGGCTGACAGGCCTGTAGTTCCCCAGATCCTCCTTCTGACCCTTCTTGGAGATGAGCATCACATTTGCTAACCTCCAGTCAACTGGGGCCTGCCTGGTTAGCTGGGACTGCTGATAAATGGTGGGAAGTGGCTTGGTGAGCACTTCCCCCAGCTCCCTCAGCACCCTTGGGTGGATCCCATCCGGCCCCATGGACTTGTGTGTGTCCAAGTGGTGTAGCAGGTCATTGACCATTTTATAACCAAATAGCCAATAAATTTTATGTTCATGGCAATGTTTAATTGGAAACATCCTTCACAATTAGAAAAATGTTGTTCCCTGAACTGACTATGTCTTTTGCATCACAGATGTTCTGTGAACGTTGAAATCAGATGTGCAGCCTCACAACCTGGCTAAGGGGCATGACTGAGGGGGGTGTATGTAGACATATATGGGTGTATAGGTATATTTAACTGTTTAAAAGAAAATTTTTCTTGGTGTGGACTAAACAGAAAAGCTGTATAGATTCCTTATGTTGCTCTGAGGCTTGAATGTTGGACTTTTTAGCCATAAAAACTCATTCAATGTGTCCTTTTACATTGAAAGATTTTTTCATGCTACTTACCAATAAATCCTACCCTCTAGGGGGCAGTTTGTACCGCAAATGAAAATATTGAAACATAACGATGGCCACTCTGACATTAAATTATTTCTGGATGTATTTGGGTAAAGAGCTGAACACATTCATCTTTTTAATGAGCGAGGGAAACCCCAGAAAACTGTAATGAAGCTTTTATGGAATAATGGTCTATAGGAACTAGCCCGAACTGGCAAACATGGAAAACAACCTTGTGCTTGGTAAGTGTTTCAGAGTCAATGGGTGAAGAAGGACCAAAATTAGAGAGTGCTGTTTTACAGATAAGATTGCATGCCTCTGACTTCCTTGCAGAGTTACAAGAATGGATGATAATGCATCCAGGGGCACAGGATAAAATTCAGCATGACACATAAGAATCAAGGTATGGAAGAAATAAACCAAGTGGTTTGGCTGCTTAATGAGGGCAAGATGATTGAGGAGGGGTGAGGAATTAACTACGTGGCAGTATTTGCTGTTATTATCAGGAGTTACACAAGCAATTCCATAACTGAGGTAGCCCTCTTCTTACAGCAGCTGTTATTTACAGTGGATATATGACATTGCATGTAGGTAATGCTGCCACTTTCTCTCACATTTGTTTCCTTGGCCTGTTGTTCTACATTTGTATGTATCATCCGGTCTTGTGACAAAGTGAAAAAGCACAGTCAGCCCTGAAGCTTCCCATTGCAATTGGAACATGTGCATATTCTCAGTTGGTAGCAAAGTTCATGGAAACATTTGCAAGATTAGGCCCTTTGAGGACATTTGACAGCTAGAGAACAGTGACCTGTTTTGCAGTTTGAGTATGTACATATGTCCAGTTATGTAGTCCTTAGTATCTGCAAGTTCGCATAGCCCCAGCTGAAACTAGTGGGCTGATGGTGTTTTATGTTTGTGGGCTGATGGTGTTTTATGTTTGTGGGCTGATGGTGTTTTATGTTTATGGAAAACCTGTCTCACTGATTCTGACTTCTGGTGTTAAATCTACCATATTGAATTTTGTTCCACTCCCATGACTCTGACAAAAGACAAGATGACAGGTACTGTACGTTTATAGTTTCCTGGTTCTTCTACATTTTTTTCAGATTGTGACATAGATCTTTCCATAGCAATTGATATTTCAAGGCGCAAGCGGCCACCATCCACAGTGCTTCTGAAACAGAAATTGCAAACATTCCTCCCCAAGCTTTTACTCCAGATGAAATCACTGCCAAGTATCAGCTGTAATGCTGGCTCTCCAGTCAACATTAGCTTCAAGTTCCAAGTATTGGCACAGACCAAACGGTTCATCTTTGACTCTGATTTTGAAGACTATAATGAAGAGGTCATCCAGAAGTTCTTAGATGCACAGACCACTGTGGACACCTACCTGAATGCAGACTTCTTACAGGCACTTGAGGAGAAGTTCTTTAGTGTGACCTCTGCTAAAGTTAAGGTAACTTAATGGTGTGAACATATATTTTGGAAAAATTACATGATTTGATGTTTACAGACTCTGATGCCGAGTACTGCAGGGAGGCAAAAAGGTAGGTCAGGAATTGGTGAATCCAATAAACAGAATCACAGAATGGTTGAGATTGGAAGGAACCTCTGGAAGTCATCTTGTCCAACCCCTTGCTCAAGGAAGGTCAACTAGAGCAGGCTGCCCAGGACTGTGTCCAGATGGCTTTTGAGTATCTCCAAGAATGGAGACTCCACAACCTCTCTGGGCAACCTGTGTCAGTGCTTAGTCACCATCCCAGTAAAAAGTGTTTCCCTATATTTATATAGAACCTCCTGTTCTTTCATTCACCCTGATGTAACTGCGTATATCAGTTCTGATTCCCTCGGCACTCCTGCAGTGAGATGGTACCCAGAACGTTTGGGTTAATACATATGAGCACGAGTATTCATGCAGAAAACATTCTTATGTCTACTGTGGAATGTCTTTGTACTTTGAGTAGTGGAAACAGTTCTCTTTCGGAAACTCTGAATCCTGATCCTGAATCTCTGTCCAGAATAGTGACAGGTCTAAGCAGAAGTCACAGAAAACATCATCCAAGAAATTTGTTTACAGAAGTTTATTTGTGTAGTTTACTTCTGAAATAATTTCACATAACAAAGCTGAGTTCTACTTATGGATAACTGATGATCAGGAACATCTGCATAGATGCTGCAGTTAATTCATCTATCTTGGAAGTCAGGCAAAGGGAGAAGCATAAGGCTTGATCTAATCTCTTCTGAAGTGAGTGGGGAATCTTTCCACTTAGGTGAAAGGAAGTTAGATCTTGTTGGAGTGTTTCAGGGTCAGTTTATTCTTAATAAGGCACTCACTCAGTAAAGCACTGATCATGTCCTGTAATAGCTGTTTGAATATTATCACTTACTAAGGTCTCCATGCAGGAAGACCTTCCTACTGAGGAAGGACAGGTTAGCCCTTGCAAAATATATAGGGGGTTTCCTCTATGAACCTTATTTTAACTTTTAGAAGATGTTAATTTTAATCTGCTGTGGGGTGAGAAAGCCATAGTGTTACGAATTCCCCTGCTTTCAGGTGAAAGTTGGCATTCTATTTTTTTACAGCATTTGCATAGATACGGCTTACCAATTTAGGTTGTAATTTGGTGCATATTTAATACTATTTTTTTCCAAAGATTTCTTAAATTGCCATTTTATTCTGAACAGGGAACATGAGCACATATGATTTTGCTTCTTTTGGGCCTCAGTAGACAGAACGTTTTTTCTCCTAATTGCAGTGCTTTTTTTCTGCTAATTGCCAATTCTGTTAGATCCATGTTGAAGATTAGAGTTAAGTAAGGCTTCTTTCTCCTTATGTGTTATTACTAGAAATAAATATACTGCATATCTCACCACTGTACCAGTGGATTAATATTAATTTCTGACCCTGTTTATGTGGAAATTGAAAACGCAAGATTTTAGAATGCACATGAAGTCACAATTTAATCTCACTGAGATCCTGAGCAATAACATGCTTGTTCTGTAAAGATTATTAGTTATAAACCTCATCAGGAATAGTAATTCTCTGTTGTTTGCATTTCTTTTCTTTATTATTTGTTTGTTTTTAAGCAAAAGAGTTGGACCTAATTCCAGCATTTTTGACAAAGCAAAACTGAGATGTGTTCCAACAAAAGCTTTATATAAATGAAAGCTTTGTAAACATATATAATACCCACACTAACAGCCCATATTCACCACACCCCATGTTTTTAAAGTGAAAAGATCAATGAAAAAAAATATCAGGCCAAGGCCTACAGTGTTGTTTCTAACATGCTGTGATGTGTTTACCCATCCATGGTCCAGCTCTCCACAGTGTCACACTCTGCTTGAGCAAACGTAGAATCCATACCAGTGCCTCCATATTGGATGTTTGGAAACTTGCCACCACCAAAACCAGTTACCTTTGCCTGCTCTTAAATTTTTGTCTCCTTGCTGCTTTGGCACGGAAGTGGGATATTTGGTGTGGCAGTCACTTCATTTTGCTTTTGTCACCTGTGGAAAAATTTGCCTTCATGGAAGTGACAGAGTTTGCATTGACTGAAGCTGTGCAGTCTATAGGGAATGTAAAACAAGAAGGATGAGAGGGAAGGAGCTCTACCTGTGCTTGTCCACTTGGTCAGAGAATTTAGGAAGACTTAAAGCCCTTACCGTTGGAGACAGGAGGCACTTTACCTGTGCAACCTCGTTCTGGGAAACCTAATCCACTGTATGAGTGGGGCCTGAGAAGACTTCTGCTGGTTTGAAGGAGGAAGCTGAAAAGAGAAATGGGAAGAGACTGGTAGCTTGGAGTGGAACTGTAAGAAATTGTGCTTTCCTCAGCCCTGGAAGAGACTTAAGTGTAGCTCTTCGGACAGAAAAGGTCAGAATGTTGCCAGTACAAAGGGTCAGGATTAACATCCTTATGTGAGCTAAGCTTTATGTCTTAACAAGGGAAAATATGGAAGAGTGGAGCAGGGGGGTGTACTGCCGATGTGGAAAGGGCAAGGGGACATAAGCATCTGTGGGGGAGGGAGGATTGGACCCGGAAAGGATGGACTTCCTGGTGTGGCTCAGTTGACAGCCAACTGGAGCTGCTTTTGCAGAAAGAGAAAGTTTTATTTGCTCTAAGTTCTTCTCCACATTCACATATAGGAGAACTCTTCTGACATCAGAGAAAGCTCTTCAGTGGACAAGTCACAGCAGAATTGGACTTCCACCTAGCATACTAAGAAGATGACAGATACAATTAGTAGCAATGCTATGATCTGGTTGGCAAGACAAATCCCTCAAATGGGAGTGCTGTAAGGGAAGAGAGGCTTTTGTGTTTTTTTTTTTTTTCTCCTTGCTCCTCAGCACTTTTTCCAGCACATGTTTCAGATCTACCACTGTGTAGTGCAGTTTGACCACCTCATAACCAGTTTTCAATACAAATGGTACTTTCTGCAATGGCTCAACTTTTAGTCTCTTCTCAATTGACTTGGCATTATTCCCTTTCCTGACAGGTTCTGTTAGTATTTTCAGATGGGCTGGATGATTCACTGGAAGATCTCAGAAAAGCAGCTGACTCACTTCGCTTTAAAGGTATTACAGTACTGCATTGATGCTCCAGCCTCCTACTACCAATGGCCCAATGTATTGGGAGAGTGGGAGAGTATTTGTTTCTCCATGTGAACAAGTGTGCGTGATGGCTTGTGACTAGTTGGCAGATGATGCCAGAAACACGCCTGGGGTGCAGAAGGCCTGGGATGGTTCTGGTTTCTGGAATCCAGCTCTAGCAGCTGAGGCAATTAAGGGCAGCCGCTCTCACTGATGAATGCAGAACCAGAGCTTAGTCCCAACTCTGAATTCTGCAGGCAAAAAGTTTTACACTTCTGTTTGGGCACTGAGTGGCAGTGTGGTCTAATGACTGGGGAGAGAAGTTAATTTGAAAATTACTGGTCTGGATATTTCTCTTATACATTATACTCAGTAGCTTGACTTCTTTGAACATGCTGTGTTGAAGCCATGAAATGTAGGTCTTTCAGAGAACTGCTGTGATTCACAATGATATTGTTGGCTAAATAATATAGATCAAGCATTCACTAATTTAAAGCTATGCTTATGTTGAAGGTCTTGATGAACTTCTATTGATTGGCCTGGACAGTACACAGAACTTGACTGAACTTTGGGAAATAGAGTTTGGCAGAGGGTTTGGATACAATGAACCTCTGAATGTTGGATTTGCAGAGATTGCAAACACCTTGCAGAGAAACCTTGTAAGTCCTTCTGTGATATAACAAAAGGGGGGAAAATCAGTCTTTGTTTTATGATTAAGATACATAAATGAAATGTTTCTTGTCATTTTTTAGGATACCGTTGCAGAAAGGAAATGCTGTAAGGTTGTTTGTAAATGCCTTGGAGAAAATGGTGATCATGGTGGCCAGGGGAGTCCTGGAAGGAAGGTAGGAGAGCTAAGATAGACATTACTTAAGAATTGCTTTATTTTTCAAGGTGTTTTCATTTTTTGCAGTATTTCAGAGCATGCATGCATGTGTCCATGACCTCTGCTGTTAGGACAGATGAAGGAGAAACATGAAATGTCATAATTTCTCTGCTGTATGTTCCTATTGCAAAAGTATTTTTGTAATGAAAATCATTCGTACATGTAAAAGCCATTAATCACAGAATCATAGAATGGTTTGATTGGAAGGGACCTTACAGACCACCTAGTTCCAGTCACCCTGCCATGGACAGGGACACCTTCCACCAGACCAGGTTGCTCAAAGCTTCATCCAGCCTAGCCTTGAACGCTTGCAGGGATGGGGAAGCCACAGCTTCTCTGGGTAGCCTGTCCCACTGCCTCACCACCCTCATTGTGAAGAATTTCTTCCTAATATGTCAGCTATATCTTCCCTCTTCCAGTTCAAAGCCATTGCCCCTTGTCCTATCACTCCAGGCCCTTGTAAAAAGTCCCTCCCCAGCTTTCTTGTCGGCCCCTTTAGGTACTGGAAGGCTGCTCTAAGGTCTCCCCGGAGCCTTCTCTTCTCCAGGTTGAATAACCCCAAATCTCCCAGCCTGTCTGCATAGGAGAGGTGCTCCAGCCCTCGGGTCATCTTCGTGGCCTCCTCTGGACTCGCTCCAACAGGTCCATGTCCTTCTTGTGTTGGGGGCCCCAGAGCTGAAGGCAGTACTGCAGAGGGGTCTCACCAGAGCGGAGCAGAGGGGAAGAATCCCCTCCCTCGGAGCTGCTGGTCACACTGCTTGGGATGCAGCCCAGGATACAGTTGGCTTTCTGGGCTGCAAGCACACATTGCAGGGTCATGTTGAGCTTCTCATCAACCAACACCCCCAAGTCCCTCTCCTCAGGGCTGCTCTCAATCCCTTCTACACCCAGCCTGTATTGCTGCTTGGGATTGCCCTGACCCATGTGCAGGATCTTGCACTTGGCCTTGTTGAACTTCATGAGGTTCACACAGGCCCACCTCTCCAGCCTGTCCAGATCCCTCTGGATGACATCCCTTCCATCCCTCATGTTGACCCCACCACACGGCTTGGTGTCTTTGGCAAACTTGCTGAGGGTGCACTCAATCCCATTGTCTCTGTCGCCAACAAAGATGTTAAACAGTGCCAGTCCCAATACCAACCCTTGAGGAACGCCACTCATCACCAGTCTCCGCTTGGACATTGACCTATTGACCGCAACTCTTTTGACTGCGACCACCCAGCCAATTCCTTAGCCACTGAATGGTCCATCTGTCAAATCCCTGTCTCTCCAATTTAGAGACAAGGATGTTGTGTGGGACAGTGTCAAATGCTTTGCACAAGTCCAGGTAGATGATGTCAGTTGCTCTTCCCTTATCCACCAACACTGTAAACTTGTTGTAGAAGGCCACCAAATTTGTCAGGCAGGATTTGCCCTTAGTGAAGCCATGTTGAGTGTCACCAATCACCTCCTTAGTTTGCATGGGCCTTAGCATAGTTTCCAGGAGGATCTGTTCTGTGATCTTGCCGGGCACAGAGGTGAGACTGACCGACCCTTAATTCCCTGGGTCTTCATTTTTTCTCTTTTTAAAAATGGTTGTTATTAAGCACTCTCCTTCAGCAATTCAGCAGAAGATGCAGAGGGATTTCAAAAAATTAAGTCTGATTAACAAAGAGGCTTATTAGCTATTGTGAATGAGAAACTTCCAGCTGACAAGCTGAGAGTAGAAAATAATCCTTCTTCACTAGGTGTGAGCCTTATCCTTATGTACTTCTGGTTATTTCAAATATCCTCTTCTAGAAGTTTCTTCTGACCCAATACAGTACTAATTTACATTATTTCCTTTAAGATTTTATATTGTCTGTTTTAGGCCTTTTGAATATTACAGATATCACCACTTCTACAGCATGCTAGTAGACTACATTATTAAGATTTTTAGTATATGTGGTCTCTGTTTGACTACTATTCATTCCATTATTTCTACTTATTCCAGTAACATGCTAAGTAAATTTTATCTGTAGTTCACGCTTTTCAGTTATGTGGTTGCAGTTAAATGAATTTTTGGTTATCTCTTAGCAAAAGTATAGTCTTCTCATATTTATTCATAAACCAGTTTACTGATTTTTTTCTATTGCTCTTGTTGATTTTCTTACACTTTTCTATTTTACTAAAATGTCTTAAATTAATGTCCTTAGACAAAACAGTGTTCAGAATGCAGACATAGTTGTTTTGCAGACAGACATGAAATCTGGGTTGTGCAGCCTACAATTGTAAAAGCATATTTTTGCAGCTCAAATTCATGTCTCACTTTTGTTCATTTTAATTCCTAGAAATTCCATTTGTTCTAGTTTCTCTCTGTTCAAGTTTTTGCCCTGAGGGTATGAGGTTTGTATGACTTCAAACACAAAGTTGCAATATTCCTAAAAGTCTTTGTAAGGTATCGCAATAGCTTTGTCCTAACAAGTTTTCAGCTCCTTGTATTTTTCATTTCACCTTAGAATTTCATTACTGTATAATGCTTCTTTTTCCAAATCACTAAGGAAGATATTTAATTTAATGAAATAGTCCAATGAGCTTTGTTAACCCATTAGGCAATTTCCTGAAATAACATACCGAAATTTTATATTGAACATTGTTGTTTGTGTTTTTTTTCACAGCCATGCCAAGTATGTAGGACTGTGCAGAGTATCTGTGTAAATGTAGCTGATGGAGCCTGCCCTCCTCAGGATAACCAGATCTAATTTTCAGGAAATGTTTTCTATCTCCATGTGCAAAATAATCTGATAGAAATTAACCCAGTGTGCTTGGAGAAGAGTGTTGCTTATCTCTTAAGTTCTGTTTTTCAGGGAAGTATGGGTTACAGAGGATCTCCTGGCCATCCTGGTGAGGAAGGTGGGATTGTAAGTAAAAGTTATTCCTTCCTGCTAAGATGTTGTTGATTGGTGCCTGAACCTGTCTGCACCTAGTCATTCACTCTGGGCTCATCGATTTAACCTAAAATGTGTTTATGCAACATGTATCTGAAAGTAAATATATGGACTTGATTCTCTGTGCATCTGCATCTCACCATAGTTAGGAATAACTTCTAATGAAGAAACAGAGTCAACTAGAAAGAATCACACAACAGCATCTTATGTGGCATATTTACGGCTAACTCGTACGCTCCCTTTGCGCGACAGACTGTACCAGATTCTGTGCTGATAGTTCTTATAGAAAGCCCATCCCTTCCCTTCTTAGCATGAGTGACTAGCTTATGGCTGGGTAAGAAAACCAAGTGTTGTAGTGTGTTTTGGTGATTTGCAAATCCTTTGTGGTGTACTGTTCCTGACATGAACTTGAACATAGTGTGCATACGCCAAAGGCCAACCCACTAGGAGTATTTCTTCCTCTTTTGCTGTCTAGAAACAAACAAACAAAAATCCTGCAAAGAGTAAGATGTAATTTTCTTAGCACCATAAGCACAGAACTAGGTTCATAACACCGCACCAATGACATGAATATTACTCCTAAATACAGGTGAGAAGTCTGCAAACCAAGAACCAGCCAAGGATTTCTCTCTGTACATAACTGTAAAATCCACATTGGAGTAATTCCAGTTTTCACCATAGATTGGTCAGCCTGAATTTGCCTTTGGTGAGGCAGCCTGGGGCAAGCCTACTGTCTATTCAGAGAAAAGCGGTAGTGGAAAAGAACAGTTGTCATCTGGGATTATCAAGGAGGTGCATTGTGATGGTGGTTTTACAATTTCTTTGGAAATCACTGGCTGTAACTACTGGAGCAGTTTCCACAATCTTTTTTTTCAGGTGGCCTTATTTGCTGAACGATAGAATAAAATTCCATATAAGCAATTTCCAGAAAGACTTAAAAATATTTATGTTACTCAGAAATAGAATTATTTTCACATCCTTTCACAGATATGAATGACATGATATATGTAGGAATTAAAATTAAAACACTGAGGGTATTTTAAAATAAGAAACATTTTGAACACATTGATATGGGATGCCCCAGATTTTTCACTACAGCATTTTGATTTGAAAGATTCTGAATCTTGTCTTTTTTTGAAGTGGTGAAGGGATGAAAACAATTTTGAATTTGTTTTTGTGTATGAAAAATAGAATTTCTATTTTTGACCTTCTGAGTATCCAGAATAATCTTCCATAACAGATAAATTACAGAAGTCTTGTTTCTGAATTTCTGAGCCCTTCGTTTTCCATTTCTTTACTGTGGAAGGATGAGAAGTCATGTCCACACTTTCAGAAACTTTCTCCATCTCTGCATGTGGAGTCTACAAGTGACTTTGATGTTGTAAATTTTCCTTGCTAAAGGCTAAAATTTATTCCACAAGATAAGAATTTGAAGCATCCAAAACAGTTGAATGTAGTAAATACACAGCACAAAGCGGACTGCTGATAATATACTACAGAAGATGCCGCAAGGAAAGGAGGTTGACGAGATAATGCTGGACAGTTTTGGTTTATCATGGTGTAGTACTCAGCTCAGCAATTAGGCTTAAGGTTTCACACAGGCAACGCAGCCAGGCCAAAATGTTTAAACTTCCATTTTTACATGTTGTGGTGTGGTTCCGTGGCATCATTGTCTAACTTAATCTAGAATGTGGTTCATGTTGCTTTTTTTGCTAGTTTAGAGAGAGGCTTTTCTTTAAAGATGAGAAAAGAAAGAGAATGGTCTTTGTTCTTCTGATTTTAGGCACTTCAAGTTTATCTTCGCTTTTGCATGGTAGTACAGGCACTCTCATGTTTACTATGTGTTTGTTCTCATTTTTCTTGGCATTGTTTACCTTTTTAGACAGCAGTTTTAAGAGGATCTGCTGGGAAATGCTGCTCTCTTTCCAATTTTCTTTAGAACTTCCATCTTAACACACCTGGAATAGAAGTCTTCAGCCATCAGTGACTAGAGGACAGTCATTCAATATTCAGTTAAAAAACAACCCACCAAAAGGCCTACCTTCAAGTACAGAGATTTCCGTCAGAGATCGGTAGTGCAGTCTAAAACATGCCATGATAGTGAGAGCAAGTGCAACTCAGACTAGTAATTGACTGTTCTCTTACAGCCAATATGAAAATTTCCAGGTGACTTCCATTTGTCCTTAGTGCAGTGCATGGTGATATAATTGTGTTTTGCTTTAATCTTATATGATGACTTAACCAGTAGCCATCATTGTATGGATGAGTTTGAACATTCTGTTTTCTTTCTTAGGGGGAGAGAGGCCCAGCTGGTTTCAATGGGACTCAGGGAGACAGGGGATGTCCAGGTCCCCAAGGCCATAAGGCAAGTATGTAATTTTGAAGCATTTCCTAATTTATTTCCCACAAACCTGTTTTCTGTACTGAGGACAAATCCCTGTGGTCTCTTCCTCAAGCGTGGATGGGCAGCAAGACCCAGCTGTACGAATAACAGATAATTTTTGCTGTCTCCTTTTGAGAGGTACTTTGTGCAACTGAAACACGGTCAAAGGGCTAAGCAGTTTGCTGACTCAGGAACTTGTCAGTGATTTTTCCACTGTGACTTTTCCAACACCAACTCCAGACTGCCCTTAGGTAAAGCTATAAAGCTTCACAGAATGGGAATGAAAATGAAGACTGTACTGTCTTCCCACAGGAAAGGGGGCAATCCCATATGTGGCAATAAGGGGTTTTACAGTAGAGACTACGAATATTGATCCCAGCATGTCTCTGCACAACAAGCTATTGTGCCCTGCTTATCAAGCTCAATAAAAATACTTTTACCAAATTTCATCTATGTTTATTATCAATTTCAGGGGGCCAGAGGCTATAGAGGAAGTCAGGTATGTGTTTTCATGTTTGATCAATTTTCTTTGAGAACAGTGTTCTGCTTCCTTTTAAGTTCATGTTACCTTGTAAGATGAAAATATCAACAAGGAAGGAAAACAGTGTAAAAACTTCAGAGTATTTTTATTTAATGTGCTTTTGCTGTGGTTTTATAAGAATGGATTTAAGTGAGCTATTAGGTATCACATTATTAAAAAACAGCGGTCTTGTATTTTTAGTGTGGTTGCAGTCATGGTTGATTTAGTCTAATTGACAGGAAAGGAATTTATTTACTGGCTATTTTAATGGTCTGTCAAGGTGGTAATTCTGGTCAGCTAAATCTTGTATTCTAATTGTTGAGGAAGCAGAGCAGAAAGGGGGAAAAAAGATTGTGACTAATACTTATTGCGGATTTGGACAGCATTTTCACTGAATTGACACTTTTTTCAATATCCAAACTTCTCTTCAGCTGTTTTTGTCATCCACTGATCTTGCAACTCTGCTTATTTAACCTTTCAAACATACCTGTTCGTCAAACAGATATTGTCACCAATTCATTAATAAAATGTGAAGCCAATGATCTATAACGGCAATATTAGTTCCCAGGCTAAAGCAACTAAAAAGAAATTCAAATTGTATCAGGTGCTTTGATACAAAACCACTCCTAGAAAAGATTTAGGAGCCTCAAAGACTCAGAAGATACTTGTTTCCAAACCTGAGCAGCTGTACATGTGAGAAAGTTCAGAAAATGTTTCTGATACCTCAGCTCTATTTAAAGTACTGCTCTGTACTGACTTTTTTAATCCTCCCATGTGTTTTTCTTCCCTTTTCCATTTTCTGCTCTGTTCCCTGAAGTAATTTGTCCTCCTTTAAATAACCAAAACATCTGATTCCAAGTTGAATTGTATAGTAGGACTTATCAAGAGCACAAACCCTACTGAAATTCAATGAATATGTGAATGTCTTCATTATGTTGTGTCATTATATCCACTAATTTTATTTTAACTAAAAATATGAGACTTTCAGCACATAAAAAAAATGCGATTGAATACTGCTGACTTACTAAGAATGAGGCAGTTTACTGAAGTCTGCAAGCCATTTTAGTACAGCTGTTTGGAGAAACAAAGGTAATACTGAATATTGACTATTTAGTACTACAAAGTTTGGCTCAGGTTTTCTGAGGTAGGATATGAGTGAGGGAAAAATTAAGGCTAGAATAAAAGTAATGATTGCTTACCTAGTGCTCAAAGTTTTTCTGGAATACTTATTCAATAAATTCTTGTTCGTGATATATTAATCTTACCAAAATATACAGCCATCTCTTTTTTTTCCTCATAGTATGTACAAAACTGTTGTAAATAAATGAAAATTTTCCTCAGAAGCTTTAACTAGGTGGTTTTGTAAAGTCAATTTAGCATCAAAACCTACAAAGCAATTGTATCTGTAGTCCCTATCAGAGTGAAGCTCCTGTTGGTTTAGCTAGCATTTACAACATGCTCTTGTGCCACTTTCAGTGATTTGTTGAATATCCTTTCAGCTTTCAGGGTAGTGGTCTTTGCTAATTTCATTTCTTACTGCAAATAAAAACATCACAGTGAATTCCTTCATTTTTATTCTAGTAAAGAAAGAGGGAAGAACCACTTCAAAATATCCTTTAAAAATTGTGTATTATTTGGCCAGGTCTGAAATACTGTGAAGCATACCTAAAGGAAATAAAGTTCTCACAGTTGTAACTCTATTCAGAAGCCTCACTCTTCAGCTGAACAACAAGTTAACACTGCAGACTCTCTAAGGTTGGGATGGGTGTTTTATGAGAAAATGGTCGATATGGTGATGTCGTTATTGCGGACAAAGAGGAGAGCAGTGTGTGTTTGAATGGGAATGTGACTGCTGTTTATCACATTGCTGAAACAGTAATGAAGTTTCTTTAACAAGTCCTGAAGCCTAAGATCAGTCTTCTGTAATTGTTTTTATGATGGTTGTTCTTTCTAGCTTTTCAGTATACCGTTCACGGTATAAAATTATCAAAAAAACCCCCAAAACAGGACAATACAAACACATATGATGGTTGACACCAGAATTACAAGATTGGCAGCATGTTGGATCAGATACTAATAGTTACATTTTGGAATATATCTAGATTTTGAAGGTGCTGCAGTTGGGAAAAAGATTTGAAACTAACAGATGGAAAAGCAGAACTGAAATCCTGAGGAAGATCTGTAGTTTTAATAACAATTGTTCTTATTAAGAGTTTTTAACTATGGATTGTTTTAAAAGTTAATAATTCATTAAAAATCAGAATTACTATTTCCTAGTTATAATTATTATTCTTAATTATTCTTGCTAGCTATTGAAAACCACAATCTTATTTAAGTTTCCAAAAGTAGAAAACTTCTTCCCTTGCTCAAAGAGGCAAGTGGACTGATGCTAATAGTTTGGTTTTTTTTTTGCTTATTGCTACAGGGTGAACATGGTGAGAGTGGATTTGATGGCACTGCTGGAGAGCAGGTAATCATTGCTTTAAATGTGCAGTTGCAGTGCAATTAAAGACACCTGCCTCAGGGTTCACAAGGACAGATTTTTGTGCCTTTGAATGGGCTTTAAGCCTGAACAGAAATTCTGTTGTGTGGAGTTGCATATCTGATTGAAGTTGGATTCTGTTAGACAAAAATTTGGGACCCACATTTGTCAGAAAGAACAACCGTTAATTTTTTCTTCTTTCTTCTCCCTTTGTGAGCCTAGGGAGAATGTGGATTTCCTGGACCTTCTGGAGAGAAAGGCAACACAGGAAGACGGGTAAAGTGTCCTTTATGGTAATGTTTAGATTTTATGGAAACATCTTTCCAAAGTACAATACTATCTGTAGTGCCTGTGAGTTGTTTTTAATAGCCGCCTGTTCTCTAATATGATGTGGCTCCTGCTATAAATCAGTGTAGCTCCACTGACTTAAACAGATCTGCATTCTCTTATCTGGCCTTCCTCTACCACAGATACTGTTTCTACCTGTACCCAAATTGTTTGTGCTCTTTTTATGAATTTAGGGCAGAAAAGGACCCAGAGGAGAACCAGGTGAACGAGGAGAATCTGGTCTAAGAGGAGATCATGTAAGTGTATTCCTTCATTTTTGTTAGGTTGCACTGATTTGTGCCTGGATTTTGTGATGGAGCTGCCTGAAATATATGTGATTTGAGGAGTTTTTCACAATCCTAGATCGTACAGTACTATGCAAGAAGTATGGCATATTCCAGGAGTCCTGAACTCTTTAGATGCAGGTGGACTGGTGTGTTTTGCTATGTTGCTGGTGTTTAAGCAGGTGTTTAAGCCTCAGGTCTCCTGCTTGTTCCTTGCATGTTTGTTTGGTTTTACCATGGGCAACATAACTCCTTTTGGAGCTACTTAGTCCTCCCTGGTGGTTCCCGCCCTAAAGAGGAATTTCTGGATCACGAGAAAACCCTGTGAACTGGCTCTTGGTTAGCAATTTATAATGATGCAAAGGCAAGTTACTACTTCATGCCGACATTTTTTTCCTTGCATGCTCCAGAGCCCTGTATAAATGCAGTCCCTGAGAACTAAAATATCAGTGGAGACACCACGCTTCTTGTATTACAACTTTAAGTCTTCTCACACATATTTCAAAGATCTTTGTTCCAAACAATCAGATATAGTGTTGACTCCTGTCTTCTAATGCTTATTAAAAAAAATAATGAGGTGTCATGGTAACTTGCCTCTTTGAGACATCAGGATTTTATCTGTGTCTAGCATTAAGTGGCCAAATGGAACTCCATGCTAGTGTAACCCCATCTGAAACTCACTAACTAGTTACCTTAGTTAACTGTACGCAAACAACCAGAACAGCTTCACATTTTCAGGGTTTAATTTGTTGCCGATTAGTAATATTTCTTTTCATCTATTTGCAAAAGAAGTTTCTGGACTTTGCAGAACTTCCTATATAGTGTTCTGACAAGCATCTTACTTTAAAATAGCCTTTGTATTTCTTGTTGGTTGCAATGACAAATCTCATTAATCCTTTTTCCATATCCTGCCCCTGTAATCAGAGTACTAAAGGTGTGGTCACAGAAAATGCTAAGCTTTCTGCTTAACTTTTCCAGGGAGATCCTGGGACTAGCAATAATGTTCCTGGTCCTAAGGGTGAAAAGGGAAACCCAGCATGGCAGGTAAGCAAGTAGTTCTATATTACGGAGAGAGGATTTGCATAATTCCTAAGTTCTGTTGGCTGTCCAGTGACTAAGCAGCTCTTTTATTTTGTATTTTGCCTTTAGTGTATGTCTGCAAAACAGAAAGCTTTGAGAAGTGCTTGATACTGTAAAAAAGAAAACAAAAAGATGAACAAAGACTATGGAAATATTCTCATAATATAGAGCTAAGGGAAGATATGGATTTAGTATAAATATATTATTCTTCCACAAGTTTACATCACTAACCTGAGAAGCTTCTAGTAATGGGTTATAAGGTACTGTTCGAAACCATGCTGGGAAAAATGCATTGGGTATCAACAGGCTGTACTCATTTCACTATGGAACTGCTATTTCCTCAGGGTGGTGGATAAACGCCATTTTGACCTGTATCTAGAACAGAAGAGCTGGGTATGTGCTTATATAATGATGTCTGAATTTTTAAGAGGTGTTTGAGCAGTACTGCAAGAAGAGAAACAGAACAGAAAAGCACAGCCCATTTTACCATCACACTTTGTTTGGAAAGAATAAGCAAAGATGATAATTAGCTGGACAGCAGTATATAAGTGAAAGCAGATGAAAGCTTGAGAGGGTGAGAACGAGCAGCATGTGAGAAAAATCCACCATTTTAGAAGTTTGATTCTATCTGAACAGTTAGGGTTGTGTGCAGATGGGTCTATGTAGAGTGTGCTGAAAGCAGTAGAAAAACTGCGAGTCAGTCTTTGGAGAATAATTGTGTTTTGATGACTTTTTGGAAACAAACCTCGTCAAACTTTCTCATCTTAAGAAGTCCAACTAAAAGGCTAAAGTCAACAAAAATTATTTCACAAAAACCTTGACAAAGTATCAGCTGTTAGGCACTGATGGATTGGAAATCCAATGCAACCATGATCTCTCTGGTTTATAATTGTTGATTGTAAATGATTTACAGAAAACAAGAATCATCATTTAGCATGATTGCATGAAATTACTTAGAAGAAACAAAGAAGGAACGTACAAAGAAGAATGTGTAAGTACAAGAAAAAGCCAGATTATTTAAAGAGCTTGTTCATTACTTTGTTTTGCAGGGAGACCCAGGACCACATGGACTCCAAGGAGAGCAGGGTGGTGCTGGGCCTGATGTAAGAATAGTACTCAATACAGGGTGGAAGTAACTGATACAACAGGGTCCCCATTGAGAAAACCAGTTTTTCTCTTCTTCCTTTTATCCTACACTTAAAACTCCTGCAATGAGAGGGAACAAAAATCTTCTAAAATTTTCATAATGAAACATACTTGGCTTCAAATTTAGTAGCTTATGTGTATTGCAAGGTGTTTTGGGTTTTTTTTGAAGTCAGGAGTTTGCTGTCCTGTTAATTTCAGGTCTGATTCATGTGAAGTCACCAGCCTTAAACTCAATGCAATCTTTTCTGTGAGCCGTAATTGCTTCATAATTTCACCATAGATAAATCTATCCTTTCTTCCTCCCTTTGACTAGAAGTTCCATATGCCTATTCAAGCCTATATATAATCTCACTGGCAAAAAGCTGCTCTTTTTAATCCACTGGAGACTGGAACTTATGAAGGCACATCCTCTAGTCTGTCAGAAAGGTACCTAATGCCAAAGTCTGGGATGATGATCGCTCCTCAGTCAGGCTGCAGAAACAACCTAAAGACCTCTAGCAATATGAGTTGCACCTGAGTAGTGTGCAGAGGGAAGTGGTGCAGACCTCTTAGCTCAGAGGGAGAGAAGGAGGCTCTTGTTCTCTTTATTTTAGTCAAGGGCCAACTGACTGAGAAGATGTTTTCCAGAATTTTGTTGAGATACCTTCTGTCTGCACTCACTAAGGGTCTAAAGCCTTTTTTTTCATAAGGCTTACTTGTGTAAGAATTTCTGTCCCAAATCCATTCTTTTATCTTAAACCTTGCTTTCTAAACAATCTCTGCTTTCTATAAGCTGTATTTGATGGGATTGTATGTATGCTGTATTTTATTAGAAGCTGTTGTTTCACATATTGCTCCGTGTTCTTAATGTAGTCTCTCATGCCACTCCTTCCTAGGGTGCAGCAGGTCGAAGAGGCCCTCCAGGTATCAAGGTGAGTGGCTGATGCTGCTACCTATCTATATGCAGCTGCATGTCCAGCCTGAGCATTTGCTCCTCTTAAGGGAGAAATTTCAGTGTGATCCAAGACACAAGTGCTTAACAATCAAAAGTCTTATTTCAAGCCAAGGCAGCCCTTGGATCTCAGGTGGATGTACCAGAGGCCCTCCTGACTTGGAGGATTTAGAATTGGAAAGGAGCTTCCATTGAGATAAAAGGACAGTTACTTTTATTATTAAGGCAAATGTGGGAATGTAAATAGAGAAGAAACTGTTGCTAAAGATGATGGGAGTGAGTAGTCAGGATGCATTCCAAGCATAAGGCCAAAAGTCTGACAGTTTTTTCCTCCTTTGCTGCATGCATACGGATATATTCATGGTGTGCATATGCAACAGAGACAAAATTAAGGCAAGTTCTAAACGATGCTTTACTACAACATAAACAGTGTTAACTGCAGCTCTGAAAATTGGCTCAAAGCATATAAAAGAATCAAGATTTTGAAAACAATTTGATTTCCCAAGTAGATGTGTAAAAGAATATAGTGTAGTTTGAATCCTTGTATAGGATGTAAGGAATATGTCAACACCAACGCATGCTGACTGATCATACCAGATATGATCTGGTGGAAAATTCTCTCCTGTCATTGTTAGGTGGTAGCCTTGGTTTTCCTAGACGTATACCCTATGGAGCCTCAATGAAAGGAAACTTCCCTCAGATGTAATTCATAAAAACATCGTTGCCATTCTCTTAAATGAAGTTTTAGATAATGTTCTGGGAAAAGAAAGCTTGTTTGTCACAGGGTATAAATTACAAAATACAGTTATCAAAGCAAATCTGAAAGCAGCTATATTCAAGAGTGGATTAGTGCAAGTAAAAGTTAAATTCTGTCAACCTGAGAAGACTCAGATTTCTTTCTTTTTTTAGGACAGGGTAAACAAACATTTCCCTTTGTCCATTACCCTGGCAGGAGTCTATAAGAACATCTAAACCCATGACTCCCATACATCTGCTGGCAAGATGTATCCCTTATCTCTATCCTATTACTTGCTTTTTCAAGTATAGGTTATATGATCATTCGAGGAAACGCACTGCTCTAGCACAAGCAGTTCACATTCGACCCAATCTCTCTGCGGAGTTGCTAACAGAGATAAAGGAAGATGGTATATGCCTTCGTATAGCATTTCCCTTTTATCTTGGTGCATATAAACCCAGGGCAACATCACAATTTCGTGTATGACACTGTACCTGCAGGATGGAATATGTCTTGAAGTCCTGCCCTGTGTTGAAGTCTGGGGAATGTAGCTTCTGAATAAATGTGCAAACCAGCATTTTGAGTAGAGGTGGTTCTGTGCAACTCTTCACTCACAAGGACTGTCAGGGTAAAATTCAGACCAGCTTTACCCCATCTCTTCTTTCCAAGTCATAGTCGTGCAATTCCAGTGCAGTCCTAGTATCAAAGAGGAGACAGGATGCAGTGCATGAACTCTTTGTCTCAGTCCTCAAGTAGCAATTGTTTCAAAGTCTGTGCCAAAGCCCAGATTCTTTTATCAGAGTTCACAGTATGAAAGTGTTTGGCCTGTACAAAACATACTGTTAGATGACACCTGGTAACAGTTTGCTCAGTTTGATACGTTTCTCATGTTTTTAATTGTGGATGTGGTGTGTAAAATCGAAGTGCTTTCTGTGTTCTTAATTTGACAAAAGGTTGATGATTTTTTGTGAAACTTTTGCATGGATTGAGTGCTTTTTCTGCAACAGCAACGAGCATTTAAGCTGAAGGCCAAGTGTAAAATGTTAATAAATAACAGTGAGAATAACCATAATGAGGCAATATAGAACGTAAGTTTCAGCAAAGGAAAAAGGCTACTGGGAGGGGTAGGGTGTCTTTTATGGTAGTAATATTTCTTCAGCAGCACAGTGTTTGAATTGACTCTCATTTTGGGGCTTCCTGTCCCTCTCCTGTTGAAAGAGTGAAGTTCTGCTATACCTTTATTACTGTCTTCCTGTGTGCTGCTACCAGGTAACACAGGTTTTTTTTTTTTACTGTTTAAGCTGAGTCAAAGCTGACTGATTATTCCAGATTTTACTGATTTATTTTTTTTTAATATTTTTTAAAATCATTACTGATTTTACTGATGAAGCTGATTCAAATTAATTTTTCACTGGGAAATGACAGAAGTCAGAGTCCTGCAAGTTCCCCACACTACAGTCCAGTCACATCCCAGCTTCGTGTAATACACAGGTAGGCCTTGTGCTGAAACCTTTGCCCCATCTGGTTTCTGAAAATCTCAATCTGGATTTCACTTTGCGAATCAGAATTTTCACTATGTGGGGTAGCGCAGATAGGAATAGACTCTGGAAAATTTTGATACTATCCACTAGTAGCGGGAAAGCACCATGCTTTGGCTACTCACAGGGATAAGTATAACTTGAATGAATACAAGCATTTTATAGTTACTGTTTCCTATTTCTATCTCAGAAATTCTTTACAGGGTTTACGCAGACATTTTAGATTAAAATATTGAACAATATTCATCAAGCCTGCCTCTTAATTATTCAAATTCTTGTTTAATAGCTCAGAAATCCATTTCTTAAGTGATTATGTAACTTCGTGCTTGCTATTTTTTCCCATTTGATTGCTGCTGAACTCTAAAAACCTTTGTTTGCATTTTTCTGTCAGGTACCAGCAGAAAGAAAGAGTCCAAGTGAGCTATGAGGGTAACAGGACAAAAACTGAAGTCTGTGGAAATGGATTTGTACCTTATTTTTGTTGTACTAACAAGCACAAGACCTCTGATGTGGTTAGGAAATAAAAATGTTCACAACTTGTTTAGTAAAATCACAGAGTACAGAATTAGTTGAACCTTTTGAGACAACCCTTTTCATCTCCATGGGGGCCCTCTCCCCCAGTGATGAGGCCAGCCTTTTGTAATATGGCGGGGAACAAGAGAGATGACTGAACCTCAGAGCAACAGAGAACTTCCAAACTGTTTTAATTTAAGTACTTGATGACCAGCTTTGACTTCTGAAAGTGTGACAGGAAACATTTGCATGGATCAGTAGGCACTAAAACCTAGGTCCCAACCCATGTTCAGAGCACATCTTATGTAAATAACCTGTTCATGGAAGAGGTGTAAAAAGCAAATGGCAAAGAGAATTACCCTCTTCTGTCTTCCACATCTCCTGGAGGAACTAGATGGAACAGTAAACCCTGCAATATGACACTGGCATCCATCCATGGGTGAGATTTTGAGTCTTGTGCCCTTCCACCGAGATCTCTTGCATGGCAGGGTCTTGCAAAGCTGCCACAAGGCATAGCTGTATCAACACGAGGTACAAGAACTTCACTGTGCAGGCTTCCTGGTGTCCTTGGGCAGAAGAAGCAGAACTGTGTAGTCGTAATGTTTGCAGGGTCTTCAAGGGCCTTTCTGTGGAACAGAGGATCTGACTCTGTAAGGAAATATGATTTGGCCAGTCCTTCTGGAAGAGGAAGGCTTTGTGCTGGAATGGAATGGAAATGAGTCCCTCTTTCAGATGAAAATAGATATTAGCGGTGGTGTACTCAGGGACAAATAATGAAATTGCAGACCGTGAGCCAGAATTCACCTAGCTAATGCCTAAGGACTTGTACTAGGTTTAGCAGTTAATAAAAGACACTGAACTAACACCCTCGTCAACAAAGTTGTTATCTTCCCTTGCAGTCAGCATGAACACACCACTTTTCACCATGTCCTGAAAAGGACAGTTTCCCAGGACTTCTAGTTATCTGTTGCTTTTCATGATAGAAGGGAAACTAACTTTTTGAAATAGTTTAAAAAAAAAAAACACACAGATGCACAGCTTGCCATTCTTAACAGTCAGAAGTAGTGAGCAGAAGGAACAGAAGGTGTGGTGTAGCATCAGAGAGGTGTTTGTCACAGACAAGAACAGCACTGTAAGAGTGAAGACAGAAAGGAGAATAAACTAAAGGAAAGCATGAGAGAGAGGAAAAGGAAAAGGGGGAAAAAGAAAAGAACAACACCTCTTCTGGGATTGAGTCAAAGTTAATTTAAGTAGCTGAAAACTTCCTGCTGGTTTTGGATTCTAGTAGAGTGTGCCTAAGAGATTTGTCCATTTTCATTGCAGTCAAAGTGATTTTTGTGGAAATCTATTTCTATTTGATTTTTTTACAGCTGACTTAAGTCTGGCATCAGTCTACTAACTGATGTTCCATGTTACAGTATTGTTACTCTGGCTACAAATAAGCTTGCTTAAATGCTTTTTTTAGTTGTTTTTTTTTTTGCTATTGTTATCTTTCATTTCATTCGTAAGGTGGAGAATGGAAGTTCAGCCTTTGGAATGCAATTTTCCTCAGGAGATTCTTTCCAGAACCATCTGTTTTTTGAGAATCTGCAGACACATGTTTATAATTTCTCCAGTGAAAGGAGATCTGCAAGACTTGGAATATCTTGGTGCTAATTACCACTTGTTACTCAATCCAGCAGACAGCAAATATTTCTTATAGATGTCAGCTAAACTGACTCATCCTCAGATGGCAACTTTATGTAGGTGGGAGCTGGACAAGGTTGTTTGGTTTGTTTGTGTTTTTCCATCATCAAGGAAGATTTGACTTGCCTCACTGAGTAGCCAGAGTGAAAGATGGGGAGTATAAAGACATCTAATTCTAGGATGAATTGTGAAGTCATGGTTCCCCCTCAGAGTAGTTTTCCGTGGATAACGGTGAAGAGGAACTGCCCTTGTAGCCCTGGCTTTGACTTCTCATGGTCTCTGCTGTGGACAAGGGGAATGCAGGAATATTGCTGAGACTGTGCTGTAAAATGCACTTAGCAAAATGCAAAGCATATAGAACTGACCTCTTGCGCTGCAGCTTTTATATTCATCACACACCCTAAACATCTCAACTCTTTTGCTTTTTGATTGAGCTTTCTTCAAAGGAAATTTGAAACTGCTTGAAAGCTGTCTGGGAGCATTGAAAAACATTCTATCAGCTGATACTCTGTACGGATAGGAAAATATTATCTGTTGGGGTACACATGACAAGTGTTTATTGGTTTGGTTTGATGGTTGATTTTTTTTGGTTTTGTTCTGGCAGGGTGAGCAAGGAGATCTGGGGGAAGCGGGTTACCCAGGAGACTCTGGTCTTCCAGGCCCGCAGGTAACTAAAAGAACTTCTGAGTTGGTTTTACATTAGCTGTGGAAAAGATGAGTTGTCAGTCTTGATCCTTTGTTTTTCTTTTGGAATGCTTTGTTTACTTCAACTGATGAATATTATGAGTAAGATTCTTCCTTGTCAAATCTCCTCTGTAACCCTGAGGAATTAAATGTGGCAAGTTTCTCTTTCTGTTTATGTGGGTGTAGCTTCTAATGTAATGAAAAGAGGAAGGTGAATAGCAGAAATAAATAATTTAACCAAAACATCTCTAGCTTAAAGGATATTATCAAGCAGATATCTTCAAAATGAATTCATAAGAAATTGCTAGCAATAAGTACATAAAATCTATTGCATATTTGAATGTACTGTATTTCTAGAGTCACTTAAAATAATGAAAATGCTATACCAATTGACAAAACCAATGAGGAAAGCTTTGCGTTTTAAAAATTTGATGGAGTCATTCTGAAGAGAATTATGGTGGTAGACTGCTTACAGTAGCTTCTAGTTTTAAGATGCTCTTAGATGCTCTAAAGACGCTCTTTAAGATATAGGCATCTGGAGAAAGTGTGCCTACTTGATAGTGGTTTACTTAGGGCTATCTTAGACACTTCAGTGGCTCTCTGAATACAACCCTCAGGCAGCGACCATCTCGGCTGCTTCACACAGGCAAATCCTTACAACTAAACAGCCAGAAGTTTCACCTGTGCATTAAGGCTTGTGAAACAAGCACTTGGATTTTGGTCATTGCAGCAATCTCATCTTCATTGAAAGGCTATCAACATTGAACTGACTTTTTTTTTCCCCCCCATATCTTTTTTATATCAGGGCCCGAGAGGACTACAAGGGATCAGAGGACCTCCAGGACCACAAGGCATGCCAGGCCCTCTGGTTAGCTTTAAATAATATATTCCTACTGTACACTCATTAGGGCTTTTCATTCTCAGTGTTGATATTGTTCTTATAAAGAATATTTTAAAAACTTATGGAAAGAGGGAACTGAAGATTTTTCAGTATAGTACTTAAGGAAACTGATTTTCAGCCTCATATGATACAATAACAGCCTTGAAAATAAGTTTAGGTGAGTGAATAGGGAGTGAACTTCAGTGTTACTAAGTTTTTGCATGATTGCAGTGAAAAGTCTTAGCTCTAGATTCCACTCTTGGTTCTATAGTATCAGGACTAAAAGAGTGGCTTGCAGCACGTATAAATACACATGTACAGTGGTGTAGTAGAGGGCAAAGTTAGATAAATGTCAGTGGTTTCATTAAAGTATGGCCTGTGACATTTAATGCTAGGATATGATGAGGTTGTAACTATTGAGCACTGCCTGCTATCTTCTCAGCTGTGTGATGCTGTTGATTTTGGGGTTCTTATTCTGGAATTACACCATTGTAACTCAGGACAAGAATGTACTACTCTGTCAACCTTGGCCATCTGCTTCAGTTATGTAATGATGATCATGCTTACACACCCATGTGTATGTGTGTAAATACATATTCATATTGGGTTTGCACATATGCATGTTTTCACTAGGTATCTATGTGGAGAGAAAATAACGTTCATGCCATACTGAATAACATTTTGAGAATTTTAAAGCAGTTTTACAGAAAACAGGAAATAACTGGAATGATAACTTGACCAGTAACTTACTGTGGTCCTCAAAAGCCTTTTAATGTGTTAATATTTATACAGATTCTGTAATAATTTCAAGTGGCAATGAATCCTTGAATGCAATAAGCCCTTGATTTCTTCATTGTGCACCTTTTAACTGATACTTCTGATTACAGGCTAGTCTCGGGGCCCCAGGTCCACCTGGCTCTGTTGGGAAATTAGGTGCAAAAGGACCAAAGGTAAAGATTTTTAAGGTACTTAATTGCAGCAATCTAGCAATATAATTCATTCGCCAATCTGACTGAAGAAGCATGAACTAACACTTGTGTTGTTCTTATGGAACATGTGAAGAATGTTAAGGTTTGTAGACATTTTTAGATTGCATGGGAAGGCAAGGGATGTGTTCAAGGTAACAGGTGTCAGAGCTCTACTAAGAAGTTTTTAGTGTAGCCATGGCTGCTGTTCTCATTGCTGTTGTGGTCATGGTTCTCAGTGGGGCCTGGCTTCTCACGAAGTGCAGTAGCGATAAGGCAGTCCTGACCCTTAAGCTTTTTTATGTTTCCTAGAATCTGTCCAATCCATTGAAAATCTGTACCCGTTAGTCATAGAATCATAGAGTATCTCAAGTTGAAAGGGACCCATGAGGATCATCAAGTCCATCCACTGCAATCCCACGTCCTCGCAGGACTACCTAAAATTAAACCATATGACTAAGGGCATCGTCTGGATGCTCCTTGAACTCTGACAGGCTTGATGCCATGACCACTTCCCTGGGGAGCCTGTGCCAGTGACCGACCACCCTCTCAGTGAAGAACCTTTTCTTAGTATCTAATCTGAACTTCCCAGTTCAGTGAAGCTTAGCTGCTTATTTTAACCTTTTTGTTCTAAAGATTACTGGCTAGTCCAAGGAACCTTGACTGTTACGATGTCTGTTATACAGGAATGAATATGTTGAGAAAAACTGAGTCAACATGAAGTTAAACAGAAAGGCTTATACTAATCGGTTGTCCACATTGTGATTCACTTAGAATAAATGTTATCCCTTACTTTCCTTTCATTAATGTGCATTGATATGGAAGGCTTGATAAAAATAACTCATGTTAGGTGTTGTTGCATCTTTGAAACTGAAAGGCGTAAATAATACTAGTTAGCTAAGCCTTTCAATCTCTTTGAAGGGTTATTATATTCAGTATGTTATTACATTAAGTGACAGAAACGTATCAGAAGGTCAAAGTGCTGCTATGAAAAGAACCACTGGAAACATACAGTGAAACAGTCACAAAAATTGGGAAGAGACATAGGAATTTAATCCTTCATACATTCCATTTTCTCAGTCTGGTTTTGTGCTGTTTAATATTGGAGCTCTTGTTAGAAGAAACTTCATTAAGAAAGTGAAAACCAAAAAAGGAACTGATGAAAAGAAAACTTGCAAGAGGACTAAGAGCACAGTGCAGACAGCCTGGCTGAGAAATATCATCTGCTGTCAGCAGATGCTTCAGGCTGGTAGAATTCTAGGCTATGTTCTGCCTCCATTAACAGAAATTTTTCCAGAAAACACTCTTTTCGCTGGTAATTCTGTATAACAATGGGAGTTTTACAGAACAAAGGCATCTGGGGTTTAGCTGTGTGAATGCTCAGCGTATTCTGATTTGCCAAGTACTTTCTGGTTCCACTGCAAGGAACCTTCCAAGAAACATGGTCTATAATGGAATGCTTTCGATTGACATCAAGTAGTCTATAAAATGTATAAGCACACTTTAGTCTAGCAGACAAGTTTTCATTTCAGAAAGAAGAATTCTCCTGAATGAGCCAAACTAATGCCTTTTATGTTTCAATTTTAACAGGGTGAACCTGGTGACCCTGGAGAGAAGGGCCCAGTGGGGCCAGCTGGACAAAGAGGCATGCCTGTGAGTCTTTCTGCCCTAATTCAGGGCCCCTGTAGTTTAATACCCATCCAGCTGAATCAGTACAGTTCATTCGCTTCTATTTTCTGTATTTGATACAATTAACATTATTTCACATTTGGATCTCAGTTTCCTTATGGACACCAGGTTCCTTGTGAGCCCGGGAGAATATCTTTCCCCTCAGGTTCTCTAGGAGAGAGACAATATGCTAGAGATAGGGCACATAGTGGAGAGGAACTGTGGCCCTAATCCTTGTTTTCTCTCTAGAGATTTTTGCCGCCATTTGCTACTGTTTTTAGACTGTGTTAGGATAGCTTGTCCTACTTTATCAGTCTTAGCAGCCTGGGCACCTCGTTGTAATGGGCCATCTTTATTCCAAAATGGAATTGGATGTAAATCTAATCCTCTATTAAAAACTAACTCATGCTGTATTCAACCTATGCAGGGCATGGATGGCAGAGATGCTCATGGTCCTGAAGGAAGCAAAGGAGCAAAGGTGAGTGCTTAGAGTCAGGATGTCTCACAGTCTCCTTTCTGGAGTGTCAAATCAAACATGACCATCCATATTTGAGACAAAAGAAATGTAAGATATGGCCATAGTGCGTTTCTGAGATACAGTAAGTGTCTCAGGCTTCCTAAAACTATCCTCTCAATTTGTGAGAAATTCTTCAATAGAATATTCTTTTGAGAACCACGCTCTCCTACTAGTATGTGTCTATATGCATATGGGGGACTGTACTTCTTGGAGTATACAGTGCCTTCACCCCACTTCAGTCTGCTTGACTAGCCACTCTTGTTGGCAAGTATAGGTGTGCCAGCCGCCATGGACTGTTTTAATTTTTCTCCTTTCAGAAGAAGGATTCCTTGACTACCAAGGTGAGGGTGATACTCTCCAAACATCCTCGCTGTTTTAATGTGAAATATTCTTCCTTGTGCTCCTGTGGTCAGCAATAAGATCTGAGGATTAACCCTTGGATTGCTACATATTTAGAAATTCTTAGCACTCCCTTCACAACCCTGAAAAAAAATAGCAGTGAAATGCCTAATTCTCTGAAAACATAAAAGAATCCAACTAAAATAAAAAGTATACAGAAAAGATGAGGTCAAAATCATGGCACCAATGGGTCAGTCTGTGAGCAGAGCGGTCAGGATGTTGGAAATAGCTGCAGTCCTCCTTTCAAAGAGTTTGTGTGGTGTTACAATACTAGTCCTTTTCCGTTGCTTGTGAAACAGAAGTTGTTCAATGGGTCTCACTGGAGGCCCATCTGTTTCACTCTCCCTTTTTGTGGGAGAAGCAGAGTGCCATAGAAGGTGCAGAAAAGATACGAAAGGCTTCCCAGGAGCCTCTCCAACTAATGAGCTCCTTTTTTTAAAATAGCTTTTTCTTGAAATGACTCTTGATGCTTCTTATTATTCAATCTCTTTCTTACCTTCTTAGCCCCAAAAATTTCCTTTGATGGGAGAGTTTCACAGGTTACACATGCGTTATATGCAGGACTAGTTCTTTTAATGTCTTGGAATCTCCCACTTGTTCATTTCAGGGAACATTCTCCTTGTTACAAGAAATGAGGAAAAAAGGTTTCTGCTAAATTTTTGTGTCATTATTCATTGTTTTAAAGGATTGACTTAAAGCCCTCCTTCTACACTGATGTGTTTGCCTGAGGTTTGGCAAGGCCTGAATTAAAACAATGAATAAAACCAAACAAAAAACTATTCACCCCAGAATGGTAATCCAGAAAGAGATGATTTCCCCGATAGCTAAGAAAATAGCCTTTAGTATAGGTTTTACTTAAGGTTGCTATTAATTACACAGGTTCACAGTCACACTACCCTCTCTTAGGTGTAATGTGAGGCCTATGTGCATATAATTTTCTGGAAATGGTAGGCTAAAGTCATACAATGTTTGACAAGCATGTCCACTTTCATGGGAACCAAGTCTTAAAACAAGGACATACCTAAGTAGCGTGAATTCTGGTAGTTACTCTGATGTCAAGGAAAGATACACTTCAATTCTGATTGGTCTTTGTGAGAATTCCCGTGTTTCTCATATATAAGCAAAGAACACACCAAAAACTGAAGTAACTGAAAACAATTAATGAAGTGACTTCTAATATGCCAACAAAATATTATGGTATCTCTCTTTACTATGGAGGGTACAACATACTGAAACTACATTTAAACACTGAGTTTTGAATGTTATCCTCTACTTATGATCACTGAACATGAATTCCACTCTATGTTACTAGCAGGCACAAATAAATTTTGATAAAACACTTACTTGTGAAGTGGAACACTCTTGAAAATTCAGAAACTGTTGGAAATTTTTTAAATGCACTTCCTTTAGATGAACAAGGTGTTAATCTAAAATGATGTCACTTGAGACTGGAGTAGTAGCCACTGTTACTTGAATGGGCTGGAATGCTAATAATAAATATTGAATTTAGTTTTGGTTTAAAGATGTCAAACACTAAACAGATCGCAAAGTTCTAGATTCTTATGAAATCTTTGTCCTTTCTTTTGGTAGGGAGAATCTGGATTCATAGGGTATCCTGGTCCAGAGGTATGATTAAATGGGCATGCTTGCTTTCTTTATGTCTTGCTTTACATTATTCTTGTTTAGAAGTGGTTGTCTGTTTGTCGTCTTTCCTATAAAGTTCTGGATTTCATTAATTTTCAGGGAGAAGATGGAGACCTGGGCATTCCAGGAGCTGAAGGACCCAAAGGAGTTAGGGGTAGAAGAGTAAGAATGATAAATCTGTTAACTCTGTGAAGAGTTCTGTAAGTAAAGCCCTTATGTCTTAAGTGTTTCCTCACCAAGAATTTTTGAAATTGATTCCCACTCTTACCTTTTATTGCCATATCCTGGGCAAGAAGTCTGGAGAGAGTGCAAGTCTAAGTCTTTAGAGATGTTAGTTGCTAATAATTCTTAGGGATAGTAGTCTATCTTTATGTAAACACAGGATCCAAATCACAATATAGTTACAGAGGTTTTTCACTGCTGAAATTCTGCACCTGTGTGCAATTATAAAGAATAAAACTTGTATTTCTATTTTTAGGGTAATGCTGGCACACCAGGTTCCCTGGGAGATCCAGGGGACCAAGGGCCATCAGGACCTATGGTAATATATTTTTATTTTTAAAAAATCACTCTTACACTTGCTATTAGATGAATGGACTATTTAATAATGTTTCATGTGGTAAACTATACTTAATCAGCCTGGCATTATAACTTGCCTGTGGACCTGTGTGCACAAGAGCACTTGCTGTTGGAAATGGTACTGCGACGATACAATGCAGGACAGAATTTGTTCCATGTTTGGCATTGTCTTTAGGCTGGGTAAATATCTGATTGAAAAAGAAGAGAGTACTAAAATGTAGAACTGAATTGTTCGGCTGAAAACCAATTTATTTTTTCATTTAAAAATAAAAGCCATTTAAAATCAGACTTTCAATTATAGGCACTTTCTTAAAGCTAAAATTGACTGTAACCTGTTAGTCCTTACACACAAGTAGATGTCTTGATGTATTTTTCCACTGTCTGTGATCTGCATCTTATATAACAAAAAGTTTTGTTCTGTATCTGAGCAGGGGAAAGGATTGTGGATTTCAGTAGAATTTAGGACTAACACTGTAGGCAGTTTGGAAAATCCCTGTAGGTGTGTATCTTTATTTTGCATCAGTTCTGCAAATCACCTCCATAGGGACCAGCAACAATCCCTGCTGTTATTTTCTTGTTAAACTTTCTGAAGCTTACTCTTTTAGTTTAAATGTGGAACATTATTGATAACAGTATCTTTAACTGTATAACATGGCCCACAGGATGCATGCAACTTAGAAAACAGGGACTTTGGGGCGTTGTTTGTGTTTTGTTTTTGGTTTTTTTTTCTGGTCATTACACTGTGCTGGTCAATGAATGTACCTGCCCACTTTATTTTATAATACTGGGCACAAGAATGGCAGCTGGAATGCGTTGCCCTCCCTGCTGTTTGGCTGCTCATATACATTACAGACAGACATTGTGTGCTGGTGAGCCAGATAGCTATTGGCCTTGCCAGTCCATGATCCGAGAAATCTTCGGAGAGATTTCAAACTCAAGATCTCCTCTTCAGATGTAGAAGTGAGAGTGGAGCTTGGGGAGGTATGGGTATGGTGGGATTATTGTAGTAGCAGTGCATCAGTGAAATGGGAAAGTGGGAACTTTGTGGGAAATGGTAGAGATAGGGCGGCAGGAAGAGGTACAGGTAGCGGGCAGGGCCAGCCAAAACAGGCCTGTTTTAGCCATCCTTCCTAACTTCAAGGCATGATTATCTGTATGGGTCAAGTCTGCATAGCTCAGTCACCACCACTAAGTTGCTGCAAGTAGCATTTATTAGGGCTCAGGCAATTCACAGTTAACTCTTGCTGAACAGTACCAAAGAAGAACTGGGACCTGCTGGGAAACATAAGATGATAAAAGCATGGAATGGCTGTGATGGTGCTAGCTGCAAGACAGCAAAGGAGATGTAGAAAGTCGCTCAGGCAGGAGATAGAGGAATGGAAGGTTAATTGGAGGGGAAGGAACAAATATGGAGATGGGATTGTCATTTGGGAACATAAGGAAGTACATGATTGTGCTAAACTGTAGTGTTATGGTAGAGAGAGGCTAAGGTAAAAGTTGTGGGATGTGGAGTTAAAATTTTTCTGGTGTATCTCACTGCAGCCCCCTGCGATTAAGTGAAAATTTTCAGTAGTCTTGCCACACATCTGAATTGCACACGTGATGAAAACTCCCAAGCCACCTTGAAAAAAAGTTCTTTTCCCTGTATTTTATTCCTGTTATGAAGATTAAACAATAGTTTTATTTTGAAAAAAAGATGGTTGGAATCCTGGCATTTGCCCACAGCTCCCAAGGAGAAAGCTGCAGAGTAGCCAAAGCTACCTCGACTGGTTGAGCAGTCGTGATGTGTGTATGGTCTGCAGGATGTCTCGAGGTAGACCTGCGGGGATTGTACGCTGCAAGAGGAGAGAGCAAACCTATCACACATAGAGTTTGAAAAGGATGGAAGGTACAATTAACTGAACCACAGCACAGAAATTGCTGTTTAGAAAGGAGATCCAATTCTGAATTATACTGATCCTCAAGGGCAACAAGTATTGAACAATTATAAAACCATTAAGGAAAATGCACTGAGAAATAGGTCTGAGAAGTAGTCTGCAACTCTGTTTGGGACAGGTCCACAGAAATCCGTGCTGGGAACTGATGTCTCCTCTTATTTCAATTCACAAATGGTTGCCAGGGAAACATTGTATGCCTGCATTTTCTTTGGGCTACAGAGTCATAGATGGAAATGGGTTATCAGGGTCTGATTTTCTGGACCTGTGTTTAATTTGTTTCAGGGTGCCAAGGGACCAATGGGCACCATTTTAATGGAAGTAAGTAATCACCTTACAGCTAACTGTACAGTGCATGGAATTAACAGTTTTAGTCTTCCATTTATTAGTCTTCCATTTATAAGCACTGACTGCAATGAGCACAATTAGCTGTTACAAAACCATATCCTTTTCAAATACTTGTCAGAATGCAGTGGATTCTTCTGTTCTGCAAATAATCAAGGAATGAGAAACAATTATGCATATGGATTAATGCCATGTCCAAACTTTTACAAACTGTTGGACCATTCATATTCCTTTATCTGTTTCTTCATTCACCATCAGTTTACGCACCAGCTCAGGTTTAGGGTTACTTTTCACCCTCTTGTAAAGGAGGGCATTTCCTCAGCAACAGCTATTTTCACTGGGAATAGCAGGGCAGGATTTCTTCAGAATCCTAATCCCATGTAAAATGAACACTTCTGAGTAAAGGCCCCATCTAACCCTTGCACAGACAACTACCTGCAGGCAATAGTATTGCAGGTGTCTTCGATGTTCAGAGGGGATCCTCTCCTCTGTGGACCTCTCTCTTTCTATGTGAGTTGCTATTGAAATGCCCGCTCTCTTATGGAAGTGCCGTTGCCTGGTGACTTCCTAGACCAGATTATTACACAAAATAAAGAATGGATAAATGATTGCATAATACTCCAGAGCATGATTAAATGCCAACAGAGCATGTCTAAAAAAACTCCTTCGTTTCTGCAGCAGGGGCAGAATATTTCCCTGCTATTTGAAATAGAGAGGAAGTGGAATGTGTGATTCTGGATTTACTGTAGTCGAGTTAGTTCAGGAGCTGGGGTATGACCTTCAGCTCAAACCATCCAGAAGATTCCTGGTCTGGGATTTGCCATTAATTGCTTTTTTGTTTTGCTCCCGCAGCCTTGCGAACTTGTGAATTTTACACGAAAAAACTGCCGTAAGTATGGAGCATCTTCTTTTATCTCTGATTCCACCTAGTCGCTCTTCTTAAATGGAATAGCCTCCATTGGAACCTGTAGACTGGTAGTTCGAAACTGTAACAAATGTCTCTTTTCCTTATTTAAGATTAAATTAATTCTTTGGTATTGTGCCAACCCCCTTTGGGTTATTCTCTGAGAGAAGACAATACTTGTCTGTCACCTGTCCTCCAGATTTGGAGTGTGTGTTCTCTCTGACTTGTGTGCTCAGCAGAACCCAGAACAATGTCTTTTATTCTCATCCAGTAAAATTGCACTATTTTAAGTATTTGATTGTGGAAGAGGAATGTTGTCTCTCACTGATAGATTCTGTCAGTTGTCTGGGCTTTGGATCAGGCTCTTTAATGAAAGCGAGTGATTATGTCACTATTTTAATGAATGTGAGTCCAAAATAATTTATTTGCTCTCCATCTCTTCATTCCAGCTTGCTCATCAGGTAAGCCCCTCTGGCCTCTGCATGTCCATTCTTTTATAGACTTGAAGAAAAAATTAACAATATTTGAGTTGTGGAAATGTTCTCACGCAAATTTTTTATTTCAATATACAGACACGTGTCCAGTTTATCCAACTGAAGTGGTGTTTGCATTCGATATGTCTGAAGATGTTACGCCAGCTGCATTTGAAAGAATGAGGAACATTGTTATGTTATTACTGAAGACTATTAAGATCAGTGAAGGCAATTGCCCGACAGGTGCTCGTGTCTCCGTTGTTTCTTTCAATATCAATACACGCTATCTCATCCGATTCTCAGAATTCCAAAAAAGCAGCTTGCTGCTACAAGCAGTCCAGAGAATACCACTAGAGAGATCCACTGGAAAACGTAATATTGGGGCAGCCATGAGATTTGTTGCAAGAAATGTCTTCAAACGTGTTCGTCAGGGCATCCTCACAAGAAAAGTTGCCCTATTTTTTGCCAATGGTCCGTCACAGGATGGTGTTGCCATCGGCACAGCTGTACTTGAGTTGAGCGCCTTGGATATCACTCCAGTGGTTATTGCCTTCAGTGAAGTACCAAATGTCAGACGTGCCTTCTCAGTAAGTAGATAGACTGTAGAAAATTGAGTCAGTCATCCATTTGCTTAGTAGCTACTGAATTATTTGTGACTTGTGCTTTTATGCCAAATCACAGAATTTCAATAACATTGTGTTGATTTCACTTGGTCACCTATGCCATTTCTCTTCTGATGTTGCGACATGTACTAGCCATTTAATTAACAAACTGTGGCCCTAGTTTCTAGAAAAAATAGTAGTAAAAGGCTTTAAGTACCCCAGGTTTTTTTCAAAAGAAAATCAAATCAGCAAAACGCCTTTTGATAGCTGTATTGCCATTTAGTACAGGAGAAAATTAACAACTTTTGTTTTAAAATATGACTTCATATAAAAAGATAGTAAACAAAAATAAGCAATCCATTTTACCAGGTACCAAAGGAAAACTATTCTAAGTTTCTTTAAGATTGCATAATATGGATTCCATGTTCTCTCTTTTCAATTTATTTTTGTATTATCTGTGCTCAGTTCTATCTTTTTTGAAATAAAATTCCTTCCAGCTGCTGTTTCTTCAAAATTATCATTCTTCAAAATTATCCTTCTAGAAGGAAACTAAGCCTTATATCTGTTAGTCAATATTTAGTCAATACTTGGCTGGCTGAACATTAATTTAACAGAATGAAAAAATTGTACTGGCATATGAGAAGGTAGCTTATAGTTTATTCGCTGGGTTGCTCTACAGGATAAACAAACAGGAGCAAGCATCAGTATTTTGTTTACTTAGTAGGAGCAGATTACAAATCCTAATGCATATGATGACATCTGGTATTTACAAAGGTGCCAACTTCCCATAAATCACTTTTCAGAGTAGGAAAGTTTAAAAGAGCTGCTTAGCGAGGGAAAGGCAACAAATTCACTGCCCAGCTGTCCTTTGTTACAGTGGTGGGAAGGCAACTGACCTCACCACCAGCACCCAAGAAAATACAACCTCCTGTTTTCTTTCAGATGGACTTCTGCCCTTGCAGCTGAGAGGTGGTTTAATCTTCATGATCCTACCAGCCTGTAGCCACAGCTACTTACTGGCTTTGGTTAGTTTGCTTTAGGAGCCTCAGTTTGGACATCACTTAAAGAGTCATTGCCAGTTCTAATTCCTTTGAAGAGGCCTATCTATAACAGCCTTTACAAACATGAATCAGAAGTTAACTGTGTTGTGTATAACACACACAAAGTTTAAGTTTAGTGCAAAGAAGTAATTTTTTCTTTTTTCACCATTTTAACTTATCCATGTATATGGTTCATTTCCTGCAATATTATGGTATTTTACAGCCATTTTTATTTATCTTAGTCCATACGGTAATGTGTGGGTTTTTTTTTTCCACTTGAATCACATCTGGATGGAGTTAGGTGGTCAGTGAAATTTTAGGGTGTTGTTGGAGGTTCTCCAGGGTTCCTCAAGTATTTCTGTGGTCAAATCTTGTACTGGGGAAGATTGTCTCTCTCTTCAGCTGATCACAGGCAACACATAGGTGGTTCTAATGCTAGAATTTTCTTTCCCAAAGAAAACATCTTCATGGTGGAGAATTTCTCTTTCTCCCAGAAAGAGCTGAGATAGGAGATCCTACCCTTTGCTCTGTAGCACTCTACTAAGAAAAGAAAAAAAGTAATAGGCCTTTACTGGAAAAAAAAAAAAAAAAAAGTCTTTATCTTTTACCTGTGCTTTACCTGTCTTTTTAATGTTACTTTTGTGCCTGCTTTAAAACTTAGATTGATGATACTAGAAGATTTCAATTATTTGTTTGGGAAAGACAACAGGATGAAAGTTTGGAGAGCATCACGTATTGTACACTTTGCTTTGGTAAGACATTTTACAAATTCCAGCTGTTGTATTGGTCTTTTTGCCCTTTCAATAACAAATCCTATAGATTTTGTTTTGCAGTGTGGTGCTGGACAATTTTTATGGTACCCCTTAAACACATTTGTGCTTAAATATAAAAAATATAATAATAATTTAATGAACAATACATTAGGCAGAGTCCTGCTGCCATAAGCGGTTCTACAAGGAGTCCGCAAAGATGCGTTAAGAGCTGATTCCTTATCTACACTTGCGCCAGCACCAATCCCATGAGCAGTTGCATGGGGCAACTCAGCCCAGCTCTGCTGCCCAAAGGTGGCCCCTGAGTGCTCACGTTCCAGGATGGCTACAAGACAGTGCTGTGGCTGTTTGTTGTCATCTCCAAGAGAAACTTCACTCCCTTACAGGGAGTAGTTCTGT